AAAGATTTTATTTATTTATTTGACAGACAGTGAGAGAGGGAACACAAGAAGGGGGAGTGGGAGAGGGAGAAGCAGGCTTCCAGCTCAGCAGGGAGCCTGATGTGGGGCTCGATCCCAGGACCCTGGGATCAGGACCTGAGCCAAAGGCAGACACTTAACAAACTGAGCCACCCAGGTGCCCCTAAAAATTTTTATTTTTAAAGGTTTATTTATTTTAGAGAGTGTGTGGGAGTGGGGCGGGGGGCAAAGAGAATCTCATGCAGACTCCCCACCCACCGAACATGGAACCCAACATGGGGCTCAGTCTCATGACCCTGAGATCTTGACCTGAGCCAAAATCAAGAGTCAGATAGATGCTTAACCGAGTCACCGAGGTGCCCCACAATTATAGCATTTTTACATTATATGTGAACTGGTATAATTTACTTGCCAGCTAGGCTCTGATTAATTAAACGTGTATTATAAACCCTAGGGCAACCACTAAAACCATTGTTTTCGAAAAACGAGTAACTATAGTTAAAAATAACTGTATTATACATTTGAAAGAGAATAGATCTTAAAAGTTCTCATCACACGGAAAAAATTGTAACTATAGGGGCACCTGGGTGGCTCAGTCGGCTAAGCGTCTTAGCCCACATCATGATCTTGGGGTCCTGGGATCGAGCCCCGCATCAGGCTCTCTGCTCAGTGGGGAGTCTGCTTCTCCCTTTGTGTGCATGCGCGAACGCTCTCTCTCAAATAAGTAAAATCTTAAAAAAAAATTGTAATTGTGTGGTGATGAGTGTTAAATTACTTTGGTAATTGTTTTGTTATATATGCATATATCAAATCATTGTGTTCTGTACCTAAACCTAATACAGTGTTGTGTCAGTCATATCTCAGTAAAAAAGTATAATGTGCCAATAACAGATAGAAAATGTAATCAGAAAAAATACACTCACTTAATTCAAATGAACACCGAAACAGAAGGAAAAAAACAAGGAGTACATGGAATAGAAATGGTAAGGTGATAGATTTTATTCCAGCCATTCTTAATAATTGTGTTAAATGTAAATCATTTAAACATACTAATTAAGACTTTCATCTGTTTAAACATCCAAAATCATCTAACATACTTTTCACTGTTAAATTGTTCAAACATAATAATTGAGACAGATGTAAATTGTCTAAACATAATAATTAAGACACAGATTTTCAGATTAGATACAAAAGCAAGACCCTGGTATATACTTTCTATAAGAAACTCACTTTAAATATGAAGACATGGGTTAAAAGTAATGTATAGCCACTGTGGAAGGCAGTATGGATGTTCATCAGAAAGTTAAAAATAGAACTATGCTCGCATCCAGCAGTCGAACTACTGGGTATTTACCCAGAGGATACAAAAACACGAACTCAGAGGGATACATGCACCCCTCTGTTTATAGCAGCATTATTTACTTCCAAGATACGGAAGCAGCCCAAGTGTCCATTGATTGATGAATGGATAACGAGGATGTGGTACAGCCTGGGGAGCTCTAGGCCAGGGTGGCCCTTGGAGGGCTGGCCTGACCCCAGCTCTGGTTTCTGGGCCAGTGGGTGGCTGCTCACCATGCTGGGCTAGCACCTGCACTTCCAGGAACCTGAGGTCGGCTGCTGTGGGAAACACTGCCTTTTTGGCTTCAACATTGTCTTCTGGGTGCTGGGAGCCCTGTTCCTGGCCATTGGCCTCTGGGCCTGGGCTGAGAAGGGCGTTCTCTGCAACATCTCAGCACTGACAGATCTGGGAGGCCTTGAGCCCGTGTGGCTGTTGGAAGCGGTTGGAGGTGTGTCAGTGCTGGGCTTTGACAGCGGCACTGGGGCTCTGTGGGAGAACACCTTCCTGCGCAAGCTTTTCTCCGTGTTTCTCAGCCTCATTTTCTTCCTGGAGCTGGCGACAGGGATCCTGGCCTTCATATGCAAGGACTGGATTCAAGACCAGCTCAGTTTCTTCCATCAATAACAATGTCAGGAATCTCTTTGCTCAGGAATAGTGGTTTTGCTGTGGAGCCCGAGGGCCTAATGGTTGGCCCCTCAATCTGTATTTCAACTGCACTGACTTGAACCTGAGCCAGGAGCACTGCGGGGTCCCCTTCTCCTGCTGCGCCAGGGACCCAGCAGAAGATGTCCTCAATACCCAGTGTGGCCACGATAGCCAGCTCACACTGGGGCTGGAGCAGCAGGGCTCCATCCGCACTAAAGGCTGCATGGGGTCTTTGTGGGCATCGCCCTTCTCCAGACCTTTGGTATCTACCTGGCCCAGAACCTTGTGAGTGCCATCAAGGCAGTGAAGGCCAGTTGGTGAGGTTGCCACACTGGTGCACAGGGAGCTACCATCTCCACTCCTGTTGGGTGGTGGGCTCCCAAGGGGACCGGGAATGGTACAGCTAAGAGGGCGCAGGCCAGGTGGGGTGGGAGGGGTCTGCCATATCCCCACCCAGGCTGGGACACACTTCTCTGTGCATGACTGTGTGAGGCAGGCCTGGGGCCCGCTGTTGCCTGGGACACAGCTTCACGAAGCGGCTTCAGAGCTGTCTTCTCTACTAGCTGTGACCTTGACCCTGCCTGGAGCCCACTTGAGCCTCACCGGTGGCCTTAGACTCTAAAATGGGCCCAAGAATTTTCTCTCCCTTGCTTGCTTGCCTCTCCGGATCAAACATGGTGATGGCTAGAAACTACTCAAACAAAACCTTAACCCTGTTCCTCCCCACCCCCCAAAAGATATTATTTATGTATGTGTGTTTGTATCGGGCTCCTTGCTCAGCAGGGACTCTGCTTCTCTCCCTCTTCCTTTCCCTCTGTACCACTCCCCTGCTCATGCTCTTGCATGCGTGCTCTCTAAAATAAATCTTTTTTTTTTTAAAGATTTTTTTT